ATGCCAAAATAACGGTGAGTCCTTTTAACAATTCTGAGAAGACCTTCGTTAACAGATTCACTTTTTTGCAGTGACCAGTAAGTAGTCGACCCAAATAAAGAAAGTAGCAATATAGACGGCTAATCCAACTCTACAAAAAAAAAATAAAAATAAAAATAAAGAGCAAATAATTAACTAACACAGTACTGAGGGGCTGCTTAGTCGTAATTTTACTTACTTTGCGTGATTCGTTTGTATGTTGGCAATAGTAGCAATGGCGGCAGCAGCACCAAATGTGCCAACAAGCAACACGCCAAACAATTGCATGTTTCTGTGAAACTTTAGAATGTTTGTATATCCGATATTATCAGTACTGGTTAATTGATTATTAATCAATATTAAGGAAAAAACTCGACTCACCACCAAACTATGGCCATTCCAATTCCATGAGCCAATCCGTTCTGCCGCTGTCTTTCTGGAGAAGCTGCTATGGCTGCATCTTGTATGTTTACAACATTTCTGGATCTGTGGTATGTAACAACGTCGGTCGTAGAGTTGAAAGCCTTGACCACTTTTATTTGACCACTTTTATTTGCCCTTCTGTAATCTCCTTTCTGCCTGCAGCGATGGGTCGATTGAATTCAATTCGGTGACGGTCCCATTAAGTGTCGTGCTGGTCAATACAAAATCCTGATGATCCGAATCGAGAACGGTGGTTGGTATCCTTTGGAAATGTCCATAATAAAATCGGTGTCGTGCCATCATCGGACGGGTCAGAAACCAGCCATTTCCGTTTCAGTTGCAAAATGATTAAAATTGTAGGGCCTTATCCTTGATGCCAAAGCGTACTTTATATTCTGGCCATCTAGTTATGTCTCCTGAATATGGATCGGTTATTCCAGTAGCTGTCAGATTTGGTGCATTAATGACAGTATTATCAACTGGTGGCAAAACAGTCCAAATGCTTCCTGGAAATGTTACGTCTTGCGATAGTTCCTCCGTGTCAAATTATCGGTTATGACATCTCTAAGGCCGCGTAGACAAGCTCCCCAACATTGGCGCCCTCGAGGTGATCTTCAGCATGTGCACAAGCGAAAGCTTCGCACTTGTCAACAGTGCCATAGACTGATTGAAGTCTGGCTGCAATTTCCGCATTTTGATATTCCCATCCTGAAAATAGTGTTCATCGGTATTGTAGATCGTGTACAGCCAATCACACAATCTACAGTGTTGATAGCCAGTGTAAAAATATTTTGTGCCTAATTTGAAGAGTCTTGTTGTGTCATTCCACGGATGCATTTTCCTAGCTGACTTTTATTTTTACGAAACCCCTCAAATTAGGTTGCAAATATTGACATAACAAGCAATGCAATTACCGTGAAATTTATAACTAACTTTCGTGTTACCGAAAAAACTAACATTAATATTAACGTTAAGACCTAATACTAAAAGTCTAAAATTGTTTAAAAAATCAGCCAAATATCTTGCTTTTTGTTGAAAACAAAAGTCTTTATTTGTCTGCGCCTTTAATGACATATTATTGACTATGCTCTGAATGATGTTGTTATCATTATTATGTCGCAACAACCGAGTCCCAAGGGCGTGTGCACTTATTATTATGGAGGTGCCACTGTATTAGAGATCATTATCATAGTGAACACCAGTTGGATATTTCCGATCGCAAGCTTATATTAATATTGGTACATAAGAGCAAATCCTATAGGAAAAGGTGTAGATCGTAGATCGAAATTCTAATCTAAAATCTTAATGGCTAAAATATTGATTTACGTCACTAAATACGTCAGATCTTGCGTAATACATTTAAGAGTGATCATCTAACGAACGAACAGCAAATCTATATTAATATAACTAGTTATACCTGATATCCACATGAAGATTCCTGTATTGCCAGACTTCAATAGGTTTATGATTTGTTGAAAGAGAGATAGAAAGAGTTTCAGGCTTTGCTGGAAAGGAAGAACAGAGGCTTCCTCAACCCTTTACATAACCCATACCAATACTCCTCATTATCTAACACTCCTCTCTATCTAATGCTCAGCAACACAACATAACCCATACCAATACTCCTCCCTATCTAACACTCCTCTCTATCTAATGCTCAGCAACACAACATAACCCATACCAACACTCCTCTCTATCTAATGCTCAGCAATTTCAAGCAGGATAGGGAGAGACAATCAGCAGCATGGAACAGTCTTATCCAAGCAGGAGAGACAATCAGCAGCAGTTGCAATATTTCTTATTCTCTCAACAATGGAGCAATTACAATGTTATCCAAGCAGGAGAGACAAACAGCAACTATTGAAGTTAATAAAATTCTGGAAATAATGGACATAACAAATCAGACAACTGATTTAGATTATAGAGCAAATTCAAAAAAGACTCTTAATATTAAGTAACAACAGAATCTTAATACTGGTGATATACTGCCAAGTATAGAAATTCAGAAGGACAGCATATACCAGAGATGATTGTCCTCAAATGTTTCAAGCATTTTGATGAAGCAGAAGATCTGCTTGTTAACAAGGTAAGCAATTTTGATAGTATTGATAAATGGGTATTTAATATTAATATTAAGCTAACTCTGTATTTATTTTTATTTATTAGTTCAGAATTCATGTGAAGTGCATGAACTCAGACTTCCATAGTCATTCTCACTCCTGTCTGTTCATGGAGTCATGTAACACCCAGAAACAAAAGGGTACATGATTGTTATTAATAATGAGTCTTGGGCAAAAAATGTTGTCAAGCTCTCACAGACACAAGAGCAGCTTCTGATGGACTTTATACAGGCATACAACATTTGAGAATGGAGTTGTAGTTTAACTCCACTAGTTTGCACTAGTACTAGTACTAGCACTGTCAATGATGGTGTGGTTCTTCAACATAAATAAAAGGGTCTGATTAGTGAGGAGGGTCAAATAGAGGCATTAGTATTAGAAAATAGAAGTACAATAAGTGAACAATGAAGAAATATAAGAGACAGCCTTTAAGAATTAGTAATTATTTTAAATCATTTATTAAATGACAAGCACTCCAATGATCTTTGTATAAACTTAAAGAGATTGGATCTGGTGGTTATATTAATATGCTTAATGCTCCCAAATATAATAATAAGTATTCAGAAAAATATTATAACCTTAAACATAAAAATTAAAATGTTCATTACTTTAATGTTTCTCTGTATAGTAAGATAATGGAAATTAAATATTGAAATAACAATATTATTATAGGATAGTTTATAGTCAATAAAATCAATGGTGTAAAGCTTATTTCCACACTGCATGTACATACTAATGCCAAAGTAAAGAAGAGGTAAAATAAAAATACATTATCTGAAAAGAGTTTTGGAATAATAAGTATGCATTGTTAAATGAGATGAATTCCTAATGCTAGACAACAACTCTGCACATTATAAAGAACTAACATGCTGTGTGCAATCAATAATAAAGATGGCCTTTGTGCTCCTGTTGCATTTAGATCCCTCATGTCTTAGAAAAATGGAGAAGTTACCAACAGCGCCATAATTAAAAATAACATTAATGATAGTAATAGGCACGTGTTAATATTAATAATATTATTATTAAGTTAATGTTACTACTGCATTATTCTAGCGAGTCAAAAATAAAATCGAAGACCCATCGCACGGTGTATATTATATTGGCCTACATAATAAACAATATATAGTAATACCCAAGATTTTTACTTGCCAGATCAGGAGAAAATGACAGAAAATTGCACGTGCTGATATAAGTACAGTAGATACTAGCCAAGCTTCGCGCCTCGCACTTCGTCAAGTACGGGGGCGCCTTTGTTCGTACTTATGCCTCTTACGAGTTCAGAGTCAACAACTATCACGCTCCCAGAGGATTCTATCACACCACACAATATTGAGTCACCGTCGCGTCGCTTGAAGTGCAGGTGGCAAAGGAGGAGGCAGTCGATTTATATAAGCAATGAGGAGAATGGAAACCATTGCGGACGGCCTGTACATATCAGAGGGTTTTGTCACATAGGTGAGTTAAGCATTGACTATTTGCTTAAAGCTATTTGGATTACTAATATGTGATCGGATTGTTTATCAGGAAGCAATTCCGGTTGGCTTTAGAAGCTGCAATTGCACCAGATGACCATGTAATAACTGCTCATGGGTTTACCGTGCTATTCCCTATCAAATCCTTGCCGATGCACACAATCGACATTTACCCATGAACTCAACTATTACATAAAGATGCTCGCTCGTATCAACTGCTTAATTTTGAAATATACTGTAGGAAAGGTTACGGTTTTATCTCGTGGCAAAGGGCGGATTCATGCATATTTTTGCAAAGAATTTCTGTGGCGGGAATGGGATTGTTGGAGCTCAGGTATGTCTGTAAGCAGAACAGTATTGCAACATTATTATTGCCTTATTTACATGTTGACATCTACTCCTTCTTGCAATCACAGGTTCCAGTAGGGGCGGGAATAGCTTTTACGCAAAAATACTTAAATGGCAACCTTTGCATTATTATTATATGGCGATGGTGCAGCAAATCAGGGACAAGTATTTGAAGCTTATAATATGTCTGGACTCTGAAAACTGCCCGTAGTATATGTATGCGAGAACAACCTTATGGAATGGATACATCTGCAAGTCGAAGCTCAGCTAATGCTAAATACCACACGCGATGCGAATACATACTGGGATTACAAGTATGTAAAATTTAGGTTGACAGACGTGAATTTTTATACGCGATTTTATGGCCTTGCTTTCTACGAATTACTCACATTTTTCCATAGATAAACGACATGGACGTTTTCGCAGTACGCCAAGCCTGTAAATTTGCTAAAGACTGGGTGACTTCCGAAAAGGGTCCCTTGATCCTTGAAATAGTAACCTATCGCTACGGTGGTCATTAATGTCCGATCCAGGTACAACATATCGAACGCGCGAAGAAATCAGCCACATGCGTAGTGCAAAGGATCCAATTACTGGATTACGTCAGATCACAATTTAGCTTCTTAAGCAGATAGAGAAGGACGCACGAAGTTACATAGAAACAAACAGAAAGCGTTAAGGATGATTTTTCCAGTCCCATCAGAGTTATATACAGACGTCTATCTGAAGGGAAGTCTTTATGAGGGAGAGAGGGAGGAAATTTGTTATTTCCAATAAACATTTATAATCCGACTTGAAATCGAAAGTTCGCATACTACTATGCTAGATATGCGTATGTGCGAGTATCTGATCACGTAATATTACGGGATTGATTAACGCCAACACACGCTAGTTTTCGCTCGAAAACTCTCCAATTAACTCGTAAAAAAAGTTTTATAAGCTTATGCTGAGCCTTTTTTGTATAAAGAAAATCTCACAACAAGGGAATTCGGAATCTGAGCTGGAAGAAGGAAACGTAGACAGATATGAAAAATTTAAAAAGAATTGATACTAGTTTGTGATAAATTATACGTTATTCCTTTATGAGATACAACTTCCGTTTAACGAATGCTGATTGAAATCATTGAATCCGTTACTTCCTCTGGTTCAAGTGCGTACCTGCGATGCAATATATACACCATTGTTAAGAAACGAAACGTCATATATACCAGTCAACAAAACCCACTTACATTCGCACGGAAAATAAATCTGATGGGAATCCATGCTGCTCCTCATTTTTTAAAATTCGAAGACCGGCTTTATGAAAAGTTTCTTCAAACAACGCATTGGATCTGAAGAACAAAAAGAATGCGGTTATGAGTTTATGCATAAATATTATGACGCGAGTCGATGAGAAAGCTATTGGTAAATACGTTGTCAACAATTACTCGCCTCGTAACACTACTGTCCTCATTGTCAAAACTATAGCCTACCGCCGTAACATTCTCTTTTATTCCAATGATACCATTCGCTTTCAAACCTCGTTTGCACCGTACCAGAAACGACACCAAATCCTCGTCAGTTAGATGCGACAGTACCCACTGACACCAGATCAAATCGTATTTCCCTTCTTCGGGTGTAAATGTCTGTAAACCCTCACAGATAAACCTCCCAACTCGCCCCTCTTGTTTCTCTTTAGCCAAGTAAGATTCTTCGGCTTGTTCTATGAATTTTGGTGTGTATTCTACGAGATCAACTTTGTTAAAATGCTTTAAAAGGAAATGCTTGGAAACGCGGCCGATTCCTGCTCCACAGTCACATGCATAATCAGTCGAAATGCGAGGAGGTTTGAGAATACGGTTGTTTGCTCCCCTTTTCCCCTTGATAAATTCGGATATGAATAACGATGAAGCCTTGGTGTCAGTCGAAGTTACTGAGGCGTAACCACCCAGCATGCCATTTATTGTTGCCGGTACGCCTGTCCAGTAATCTATGACGGTTGATGTAATCGAATTGACTTAGGTTAGATACATTGCATTTTAATAGCAAAATAGCGGAATGTGCAGATAGTATAGCGTTGTTGGAAAAGGCGTGGTCGTGGTAATATATAAACCCACAGACTTGCCTTGCGCATCGGTATACCAGGCTTCCCGCTGAAAGAACGACGTGTTTTCGGCCTATATCATGGCAATGTTTAATAATGTGCCTTATAATTGCGGGAAGGATAGAACAAATACATGTACCTCGTTAGACATTTTGTCAATGTTTGTGTGAACAGGCATTCTGAGATCTGATATTGTTGGCCAATGAAATGGAGGATTAGACTCAAAAATGTGCCGTTACATTAGTATTAGCATTAGATAATTATTAAAATCATTGATGTGACTAAAATCAGTTGGAGAATTTAAGTTACCCTGAAGCAGGCCTCTGCACAATACAGTTAAAGTCTATCAAAAGTAGTCAAATAATTTAGCCATGTCAGGTGTGATTGATTAAGTCCATGTTCTATTCAGCATGAGTATGAGGACCATGGTTGGACAATACATAAGAAGATTCTTCAGTTCACTAAGGACAATAACAGCCTGTTGCTTTGAGATATCAATGAAAAATCGTTGTCAACAGTTATTGAAAATAATGTGGATTATTAAAACTATTTCTCTGACTAAGTACCGAGTATTTTACTATTTTTATATAATACCCGGGGGCACAGTATACAGTATATACTAATACTATTATGAATAATTACTATTACCCGGTATTTTACTCGATATATATTTATTATAATAAAATTTTAGTGAGGCAACTCTTTGGTCAGTATAGGAAACATCAAATGGCGCTTCTTTTCTTCAATGCCACCCTCAATCGATGGCAGTAACGCGTAATCTTATATGCGGTCGCAGGTTTTTCATTCTCATTAGCCAACTCTATATCATATCTATTATATAATGAGGCTAGGACAATCTTTGTAAAAAGCATTCCGTACTGTCTACCAGGGCATATACGCAGTCCTCCCCCAAATGTTTGAATGGAATTTGGAACAATATCTTCAGATTGAGAAAGAAACCGCTCAGGCTTAAATTCTTTGGGATTAGACCAGTGTGCTTGATGGTTTTGAATACCAAACACGTCTATCATGAACTGCGTTCCTGCCTAAATAAAAATAATTTTGCATTACATTTTGATTGAATCATTAACTGACTAGTAAATCGTCCGTTAATATAGTAACAAAGGCATTAGATCGCAGACATATGTCTCTAGTTTCAAATTACCTTCCACACATATCCACCGATTTCATCATCCTGTGTAGCAACTCTGTGATTAATGGGCAGAGGAGGATAAATCCGCGAGGCTTCTTTAATGACCGCTTCAAGGTAATCAAGTTTTTTGTTCGCGTCATCGAGCTGCAGTATTCTATTCGGGTTATCTCTGAACAAAGGATCGACCTCCTCCTGTATTTTCTTCTTTACTTCCGGGTTGTGACAGACAAAATAGATGACAAAACACATGAGACTAGCAGACTACAAATTGAATTGAGCAATTAAATCTGGGTCGCATATGGCCGTGTTTCGCTATAAAATAACGTGCATACTGACATACTTACAGTTTCTACAGACCCAAGCAACACTTCCAACAGCACCCCTCTAATTTCATCATCACTCATAGGCTTGTCTATCTCATCCGATCCCCTTTTCACGATAGGTCCACGAGGGGTATTAGTGACCAGTAATAATCTCAAGATGTCATTGTTGTTCTTTGACCCATCATCGTTAACCTCATTTTCAATCTCGGCTCTCTTTTCTCTAATTATTGTCAACAGATTGTTGGTTAACCAATGGTAATTTTTCAGATACTTTCTTCTTTTCATCAAACCATTTGGAGTTCCCAGCCTAACGAAATCAGGCGTAAATACGGCTGTCCTCACAGTCTCCATAAATGTCGTCCAAGAATCGCGGAATTCTTTGGCATAATTCATAGTTTCAGGCGAATAAGGTATTTCGGAATTTGGCGAGTGAGAAAGGAAATGAGATGCAAGAGCGCAACCGTATCTGCTACTAGATAGGTACAGTATGTCGTCTAGAGTTAACGCGTGGAACCAATCTGGAAGATTAATGATTTTATCGTTGCTGACAGTTGCATGCTTATTGGTATCGTCTTTCAAATCATTTTGACGCGCATCCCCTATATATCCCAATTTGGTCCAATACGTTTCCATTTCATTGACCATCTTTGGCACGGTTTGAATAACATAGTCATTAAACTCTTTCGACGTCATCACGAGTTTAATCATCTTCCTATTAAAGGCCCAAAGATTCAGATCTCTATTCAGAAAAACTCCGTGGTCCGACAATTTAATTTCGGCGATTGCTCTATTCCCATTTGTTCTGTACTTGTAATTAGTTTTTGTCGACGTACTAAGCAATTTTTCTACTAAATCGGCTCTCGAGACCCATACGTGTCTTTCGGATCCCATATACAGTTCCCACAAGTCACCATACTTCTTACGGAGAGTATCAGCCCATACTACCATGTCTTCATACATAGCATATTGGAGGAGATTGCCTACTATAGGTAATGGGAGTGGACCAGGAAGTGCATTGTCTCTATTAAAGTAAGAGACATAGAATTTGATGGTGTACAGTACAAAGACAAGTATTGATAGAGCAAGAACATTTAGCAATCTGGAAGTGCTGAAGAAAGTTAATGCGTCGACTGATAACATTTGGATGGTCAAATTAATCGTGTGAAAAATACCGGAGAGTCATATATATGTATCATCTCCTGCGCTGCGCTTCTTATCCCGTCATATTTGGGACTGATGAAATACATAAAGAACTTGGAAATTGTATAAAACATAATAATAACTGAATATATCCATCTGACTTAAAAATGACAAATTTCCTCTTTGGGTAGCAAATCAGAGGCGCCTCTCTGCAATTCCAGATTTTTTGTTCGTGATATTGCTAATCATGGTTATATGCTAAACACTGAAGTTATTTTAAGGGCGAAACAAACCTTTCAATATTAGTATTGTTGTAATTAGTATTGTTGGAAAAATGCGAAGTAAACAATTTAGGTTGAGTAAATAACGCCGTGATCCATTCCGTCGTCGTTGACAAATATACGTGAGAATGGGTGTTGCTATCACATGCGATCGCATCATTATGACTCTCACATTGTGTTTAATCGTATAATTTTTTCCAGATTAGCCTACACCAATTCAGTGTTTAAGGTTGGTGCTCAAAAGTCTGGGCAATCCAAAATGCTGCTGGGCTTGTGTTATCAAACTAGCTAGTCAATCGAGAGAAATATTGTGTAAAAGTAATGACTTTAAATAACCACTAATTAATGGTCTTTCGCATAGCAATAGCACTGGCGTTAAAGACATACATACAGTAACAATTTAGTCTGTTTGTATTGTTAGTCATTATATTAGATATTCGGAGAATGCAAAATCATTCTGATTATTACGTGACATGTACACTTCCCTGACAAAAGTATACTGTAAGTACGAGACGAAATTTTACTAGTAAAACTCTTTATTTTCGAAAATCTCTATTGTCCATACGTACTATGTAACCCACAATGATTTTGGTACCGTTTTGAAGCTAATTGACTGTATTTTTCGAAAAGAATGGTGTGAAATTTAAATTAGTTACTGTAATGAAGAAGTAGTTCGATGAAGTGACGGCACTATGTTACACATATGATTTCATATGTGTAACATAATTTCGCCACTTCCTCGAACTGAAACGACAACAGGACTGAGTATATCATAATTTTTTCTGAAAATACAATCAATTAGTTTCAAAATGGTACCAAAATCATTGGGTTACATAGTACGTATGGACGATAGAGATTTTCGAAAATAGAGTTTTCATATGTTTTACTAGTGTACCCCGGGTACTTTACACAGTACCCCCTATTACAGGATTTGTAAAGTACCGGTCCTTTAGTCAGCGCTCTACAGTAATCCGCCAGTGAAACCTGCCCAGCCTAGACTGGAAATTTCGTTTTTTATAAAAAACCCCCAATGATGTTATTACTTCGTCCGATGTACTGCAAAACTGAAACTCTGGATTAATCCCAATGTCGAACTTCACAACTGCCCCAGACACAAATTCAGACAAAGCCTTGAAAACCCTTGATGATGATGATGATGATGATGTAGCAAAGTTAGTACGTAACTTCGACTGGGCGTCTACCCCATTGGGGCCTATGGACAGTTGGCCTCGCTGGCTGAAATTCTTAACAGTGAGTAATAAGAGTGAATTAATTATAGCGGACCAATTGGAGAAAGGAGATAAACGTTCGTTGTATTCAATTAATGCCCAGGATTTTTGTCTCAATACCACGTTTCCCATGGTGTTATTCGTTGGGGAGGATAGGATTTATATATACAACCGGAGTAAGTATGTAAATTAATAACGCAAAACCGGCCGTTTGCTTGCTGTCCATCTGATTATCTATTTATCTCTCTATTAGTGTGGGCACAGATCCTCCAGGAAAAGCATCCTTGTAGGTATAATTGTATTACATGAATTTACCATAAGCTGTGTAATAACAAAATAATTGTAGGCATAGGGACTTCGGCGACCTTAACATATCCTGAAGCACGTAATGTTTTAGTACCGATGTTTGATGCGTATGTATTATTATATTATTGTTACTTCCATACTTGGATAGTTTCTGACTTGTGACTTGCATTGCAGAGCTCTTAAAGGACAGGCCCAATATAATGAAAATTTCTGTCCGTACCTTAATCGATCGGGTTATAGAGAAGAAGCATACTTTACTACCTCTCTCAGCGCAATATATACTGACACTGGGGAAATAGGAGGATTGTTTTCCTTGGCGCAAGAAACAACAAAAAAAGTACTAACGAATAGAAGACTGAGAGCATTCAGAGATTTGGTCAATGGAACGCAAGGCAAATATTTTGCGTAGATTCTATTATGGCATATATTGTTTATTCACATCATCGATATCAACTTTGCATATACAACTTGTGCGTCATGACATTCATACACAGGAGTGACAACTGTCGAAAATGCTTGCCATTCTATTACTGAAATTCTTCGAAATCATGCCGATATTCCATATACTATTATCTATCTTGTGGAGAACCAAGAAGGTGGATTCGAAAACAAACCAAAGAAAGTACGTTTAGAAGCTACAACATTCGATAGTGGTCTAGTACGCGTCCAAAGAACTGACGGAAATGAAGAATATATGTATATACATGGACAATCCAGCAGAGATATACCTGACTATTTGTTAAAGACACCTGATGTGATGGTCATGTCTGATGTAAAGGTCATGCCTGACTCTGAAGAAGATATGGACCATTTGAACTCACATTCAACTACTGCTGCACCATGGCCAATAGAACGCGTAATATGTAGTGGTGACAAAGTATTTATACGATTGCCCGATGATTCGCTAACCGTATTGTGTCCAGTGACTTCGATTTCTGGTGGAAAAGACATGTTGACAGCTGTAATGATATGCGGCGTCAATCGACATAGATTACCCGATAAAGATTACGAAGAATTTCTCCAGGTATGATTATTATATGTTACGAAGCGTTTGTATATATTTTTTACTGAAACTTATTTTATTCGATTATAGCTCGTCATTAGCCACGTGAGTTCCATCTTTACAAAGGCTCGATTGCGAGAAGAAGAACGAAGACAGAAGAATATGTTGGCTGAATTGGATAGACAGAAAATTGCCTTCTTCGAAAATGTCAGTCACGAATTGCGAAGTATGTCTACAAGTATTTATGGATTGTTTTTTACATCAACTTGTAATACCAACGATTTACAATTATCGCGTAGGTCCTTTGACTCTTATGCTTTCACCCTTGGAAGAAGCAATAGAGTTGTGTCCTAAGAAATCTCCAATATTAAGTAATCTCAAATTAATTCAGAACAACAACCGAAGATTACTTAGCTTAGTAAACAGCTTGTTTCAGGTAAGTACTAGAGACATATTTGTTGTATTGCGTCTCGACTACAAGAGTTTTAACATCTGCTCTAAATCAGTTCGCTCACATGGAATCCGGCCGACTTCACGCATGGTTTTGCGAAACGCACATTGCAAAGTTAACAGTAGAGTTGGCGGCCAGTTTTGAAAGTATGGCTAAAGCACTTGGTCTATATTATAAGCTCGATATTCCTGGTGACGGAGATCTTGTCTGTCAAATGAATCAGAAAATGTTTTTAGATCAAGAAATGTACGAAAAGATACTATTTAATCTATGTAAGCGACACAAGTAAAGTACACTGATATGACGCGTTTTATGTTATTTTTCTAACCAAGTTGCCATTTCAGGTTCGAATGCATTTAAACATACATTGGCGGGTGGCGTAACTGTTCGATTAGCTGTAGAGAGAAATGGAGATAGGGAAGGAATAGTCCTTGAAGTATCCGACACAGGTATTGTCAATATCATTTCAGGATGTCAGTTTATTCTAAGCAGCAATGATAATGACCGATCGTCATTCTTAGGGGTTGGCATCCTGGAAGAACATCTTTCGTGTATCTTCCAGCGGTTTTACCGCGTCGAGTCGCAACAATCACATGGCCATCACGAAGGTACTGGGGTTGGTCTTGCTCTCGTTAAAGAATGTGTCGCACGACATGATGGTGAAATCTCTGTTAAATCCCAAGTGAATGTGGGCACTACCTTTCGTGTTTGGATTCCTTCCGGATATGATCACCTTCCCCAGCAACAAGTTTACTTTAAAAGCAAAAGGGATAAATCTAAATTTGATGCAGAATATGAAAATCAAATTAATTTGAATATAAACTTGTATTTGCATGAGCGTATGCAACGTGAACAGGAGTCAGAGTCTAATCAACAGCCCAAGGAAGATGATCAACATAGTATCGATAATGAAAGCTTGTCTTCTACATCATCACCAAGACTAGACGAGTGGTCGGCATTGCATATGGAACCAAGTTATGTTGAATTTGAGAATACAAGAAAATATATCCTAGTCGTTGATGATAATGCAGACATGAGGTATGTGCATTTGATTTTGTTTTTGATGTGATATTATAACATCATTGTGTAAACATTTGTGGTAATATATTATTAGGAACTATTTAAACACTTTGATCAAGAAGCAATTCGATTGTATCTGCGCTGCTGATGGCTACGAAGCGCTTAAAATCGCAAACAATTCACAACGGTTGCCCGACCTAATTCTTAGCGGTGAGATTCCTGTTAATTCACTTCTAGTAAATAGCTGAATGCAATTACAGGACTTTTTTTAAAAGCTTTTCTTTGTTCAATAGATGTTATGATGCCTAACATGGATGGCTTTGAGTTACTGAAAGCACTGCGCGGTAATCCAACAACACAGGCGATTCCGGTGATCTTGATATCAGCTCAATCGGGAGAAGCCAGTATTGAAGGCAAGTCATTTCATGTGAACGTTATTGCCTTGAATATGCTCCTCAACTTTCTGTATTTGTAGGATTGGAAAAGGGTGCAGATGATTATATCATTAAACCGTTCAACGCTCGTGAACTTATAGCACGTATTCACGTGAATTTAAAACTTTCTCACGTCCGTCATCGACTGATGGCAGAACAACAGCATCAGCTTGAAATTAAGCAGTTGTTATTTACTATCAGCAACAAAATTCGTTCCGGTTTTGGAATACAAGAAACACTTGATACGGCGGTCTCAGAAATAAAGAAGGTTTTAATATGTGATTCTTTAATAATATTACAGGATATTTCCGAAAAAGAGAGTATTAACCGTAAAGTGATGGCAGCTTCATTGCCTTCAACGAATAAGATGGAGAAGATTGTTGGGCGTATATTCCGTGATGAACAGCAGCAAACAGAAACAACTGCAGATTCTTCATCGGCGACAAATCACGGGCCTCCTCTTCATCACTGTGATGGACATGTAGAACCAGATTCGTTGTTAAGTAATATAAAAGCTTGTTCGGATTGTGAATCAAAAATTTTGAATCAACGCGTGTCCTTTCTCAGCGCAGCTATTCATTTGAAATCGTCACCGTGGGGTTGGATAATTGCTTACCGACAGCCATATCATAAATGGACAGAGTCTGAGACGGATTTCCTATATCAGGTCTCAAACCAAATAAGTTTAGCCATTAGGCATGCCACTCTCGTCGAAGAAAAATTAAAGCGAGAAGCACAAATAAAGGCCATCGAAGAGACTAATAGAACGAAGGACCAAATACTAGCCAACACATCTCACGGTAAGGAAGACGAGCCTTGTTACCTATGCCAGTCGCCACAATAATAATGAT